CCCGAGGCCTGCGGCCCGGGGTGATGGGCGCTGCCGCCTCCTCCCGCCCGCAGACCGGCGTGGTGAGCATGGTGTACACGCAGTCCGAGATCCTGCAGAAGGAGGTGTACCTCTTCGAGCGCCTCGACTCCGCCAACAGGGAGGCCATGAAGCACCTCAAGGCCATCTGCTTCCTGCGGCCCACCAAGGTCGGGACCGGGCACCGCCGGGGGGGACACGGGATGCTCCAAACCCTTCTCGGTCAACATTTTTCTTTATTTCTTTATTTATCATTTTAAAAATCTGCTCTCCCCGCTGCTGTTTTTATCCAGGAGAACGTGGAGTTCCTCGTTCAGGAGCTGCGGAGGCCCAAGTACAGCATCTATTTTATTTGTGAGTATGTCCAGAAGAGAAGGCTGCGGGGAGAGCTGAGTGCGGCCTTTCAGTACCTAAAGGGGGCCTATAGGAAAGGTGGGGAAAATCTTTTTAGTAGGGCCAGCAGTGACAAGACAAGGGGTAATGGTTTTAAACTAAACCAGGGTAGGTTTAGACTAGATATAAGGAAGAGGTTCTTTACAATGAGGGTGGTGAAACACTGGAACAGGTTGCCCAGAGAGGTGGTGGAGGCCCCATCCCTGGAAACATTCAAGGCCAGGTTGGACGGGGCTCTGAGCAGCCTGATCTAGTTAGCGGTGTCCCTGCTCCTGCAGGGGGGTTGGACTAGATGACCTCTGGGGGTCCCTTCCAACCCAAAACATTCTATGATTCTATGATTCTATGATTCTATGTCCCGCCCTGCCCAGCACGTCCGGCTACACCCTCAGGGGCCACCCTGGCCTTCAGCAGAAAACACCCGTGAGGGGACCTCATCAATACACACCTACAAATATCTTAAGGGTGGAAGTCACGAGGACGGAGCCAGACTCTTTGCAGTGGTGCCCAGCGCCAGGACAAGGGGCAATGGACACAAACTGAAACATAAGAGGTTTCAGTTGAATATGAGGAAAAACTTTACTCTGAGGGTGACAGAGCCCTGGCCCAGGCTGCCCAGGGGGGCTGTGGAGTCTCCTTCTCTGGAGATATTCAACCCCCACCTGGACGAAGTCCTGTGTAACATGCTCTAGGAGAACCTGCTTGAGCAGGGGGGTGGGACTGGATGATTTCCCGAGGTCCCTTCCAACCCCTGCCATTCTGGGATTCTGTGAGACGCCGTGACCGCTCCTGCTGTCACTTTACGAAAACGCTGAGAATGTGTGAATTTTACTTTTTATGCCGTTTAGGTCACCAAATTCTTTTCACAAAGAGCACATGCATACCAGATAACATAATCAAACTGAGATCTTTACAAACAGCGCCATAAATCTGCACTCCTCCGATATGGCTTATACCCCAAAAATTTCTGGGGTTTTAAAGCTTCATGTTGCTTCATAAACATGGAAGAAGCCTAATGCTGGGGGCGAAGTGCCTTCATTATAAGGAAGGCTGAGGTGCACGGGGTGACAGACCGGCCCAAATCTTGAAGGTAAAGAATTCAGAGACAGGATTAGGATAAACTTCACATCCCAGCGTTGGACTAAACCTGCTACGCGGCATCTTCTGATGCCTGGCCTGTCAGGCAGGTGTTCCTCACGTGTCCCGCTCGTGCCACAGAGTATTCGGTGCGTTTGGAAATTAAGCAGAAAAACCACAGCTGGTTTTGCGTCCAGTCTAGTCCTCCAGCGCAGGTATCCCTTGGGGAGGTTCTGGGAAATGAGCTGAAGTGGCCTCTAGATGTCATTGCTGCTCTGCAGGAATG